GCGGTTATTTTTGGAGATAACCTCCTATCAAAAAGTCACCTTTTATCTATAAATATGAGAGGACCATGTTGATTTAAGGATACGGCAAAAATTCTTTTTGTCAATCTTCTATAATTGTCTTACTTTGTTACTCTTATGTGCAGTATTAGTAATAAAGTGTATAGATTACTTTACATACAAATCACTTGTTCGGTGTTATTTTATCGGTAACTAAAATACATCATACACCTTCTTTTTATCCCAAAAAGTTCTATCTTGTAACCCGGTTACTGTGATAAGGGTAGATAGTAAACTTTTAGGAAAGCGTATTTAATACGTGACTAGAAGTGATATCCGGTCCAGCCATATATTTACACCCTTATTTTTATCCTTCAGTTCTAACAATCTAAAAGTTTACTAGTCCGAAATTATGGCCGCTACTCAACGTGATATCAACACCAATTTTCAAAAATTGGAAAAGTTTGAAGGTGTGGAGTTTCGAAGGTGGCAGAAAAAGATGTATTTTCTGCTCACTACTTTGAAAGTGGTCTATGTGTTAAGCACCCTGAGGCCACCCGAGGATGATGAAAACGAGACTTTGGAAACAAGCCGCCGCCGCATAAAGTGGGAAAACGACGACTACATTTGTCGTGGGCACATTTTGAATGGTATGTGTGATTCTATGTTTGATGTGTATCAAAATGTTGAGTATGCAAAAACGTTGTGGGAATCTCTAGAATCTAAGTACATGACCGAGGATGCTTCGAGTAAGAAATTTCTCATTAGTAACTTTAATAGTTACAAAATGGTTGATTCATGTCCGGTCATGGAGCAATTTCATGAAATTCAACGTTTATATGAAACCTTTGCGGTCGGTTCTATAATCGACAAATTACCACCTTCATAGAAGGAAGTAAAATATAGCCTCAAACGCAAAAAGGAGGATTTGTCAATGGAGCAACTTGGTCGCCGACTTCAAATTGAAGAAGGCATTAAGTTGCGCGAAGGTGACAATGGTAAAAAGAACGACCTTCCGATTTCCTCTATAAATGTTATGGAGGAGGGACAATCAAGTGGGACTAAGAAAAATAAAAAACGTCCCAGGAAATTTACCAAAGGTTCTAAGTTTCGAAAGAAGCCGAAAAATAAGAAAGTAGGCTCTTGTTGGGAATGCGATGGTCCACACTTCAAGAGGGACTGCCCGAAGGTGAAGAAGAAGGCTCAACCGAACGGCCATCCTAACGGTGGCCAAGACAACCAAGGTAAGAATATTTTTGTAGTTACAAATGACGTTGATAACAACATGATTTTTGTAGCTATGTTTTCTGAAATTTGTGTTGTGCAGGATGATGAATCCTGGTGGATCGACATCGGAGCAACAAGGCATGTATGTAAAGATAGACAAGCTTTTAAGACTTTAAAAGAGTTGCAAGAGGGGCCGATCTTATACATGGGAAATGAATCTACTGTGCAAATTCAAGGAATTGAGCAAGTAGAGTTGGAACTAACTTCCGGGAAGAAATTAATTCTTAATGATGTGTACTTTGTACCACAAATCCGGAAAAATCTTGTCTCCGGTGGAATCCTAAATAACTTTGGGTTTAAACTTAGCTTTGAAGCAAATAAGTTTATTTAATTTTATCTAAGGGTGGTGTATTTGTAGGCCAAGGTTTCTTTTGTAATGGCATGTTCAAACTAAGTGTTGTAAATAAAGTAGTTAATTCTGTTTATATGGTTTGTGATTCTTCTTTGTGGCACAATAGGTTATGTCATGTTAATTATCGTAGACTGAGTGACATGTCTAAAGTAGGATTAATTCCTCCTTTTAATGTTAACATTGAAAAATGTAGAACTTGCATGTTAAACAAAATCACTAGAAATTCTTTTCAAAATGTTGAAAGAAAATCCAACATCCTTGTCTCCAATTCAACAAATTGTTCAACTCATTTCTACTCAACGCTCTTAATTAAAAAAGTGATTATTGATGTAGTATATACTCGAAATACAAGAACACCTTCTCTTTCTCGTCCAATCCATCTGAGCAGGTCTACGAACAAGACACACACACGAATGTTCAGGTTCGACCAGGCCTGACCACTCCCCTGTCTGGCCACCTCAATTTGAGTTGGTTCCCGATGGTATTTTTGGCCCAATTTTTTTTTTTGTATATTCCTCATCAAGTCTAGTTCATCCATACCAAATTTGAGCAAAATATTCAATCGGGAAGGTCGTCAAATGATTTTTGCAAGTTAACTGGTCCGGAATATGTATATTTCGGAGCAGTTAACTTGCAAAAATCATTTGACAATCTTCCCGATTGAATTTTTGGCTGAAATTTGGTATGGATGAACTAGACTTGATGAGGAACATACACAAAACATTTGAGCAAAAAATACCACCGGGAAGGCCTTCAAATGGAGGAGGCCGGACGGGGCTCCTGTCCCGAAATTCCGGACAGGAAGAGCTCTCTCTCTCTCTCTCTCTCTCTCTCTCTCTATATATATATATATATATATATATATATATATATATATATAGGAATGTTCATGTCCGAACATTCCTGGTCTGAACACCGTCCGAACATGGACGTTTGGGGCCCTTCCCGGTGGAATTTTTTGATGAAATGTTTTGAGCATGTTCCTCATCAAGTCTAGTTTGTCCATACCAAATTTCAGTTCAAAATTCGATCGGGAAGGCATTCAAATCATTTTTTGAAGTTGAATGCGTCAAAATATACATATAAAAACGCAGTTAACTTCAAAAAATTATTTGAATGCCTTCCCGATCGAATTTTGAGCTGAAATTTGGTCTAGACAAACTAGACTTGATGAGGAACATGCTCAAAATATTTCATCAAAAAATTCCACCGGTAAGTACCCCAAACGGGGATGTTCGGACAGAGGATCCTGTCCGAACGTTCGGACAGGATCATTCTTGTATATATATATACCCGATAGTATATGAAATAGGAGGGAAGAGGATGGGGCATGAGGGTGGGGAACAGAAATCGGCCATGGCTGCTCCATGAGGCACTAAGTAGGGGTGGAGTCGGGCCGGGCCAACCGGCCCGGAACCGGACCGGCCCGCTACTGTGCGGGCCCGGACCGGCCCGGTCACCCGGTTCTTGACCGGTTCGGGCCACCCGGCCCGGTGGTATAGCGGTCCGGGCCCGGGCCTCCATTTTAGGGAACCGGCCCGGCCGGGCCGGGCCCGGTTCGGGCCTCCAACGGCCAACTTTTTTAATTTTTTTTTTTTAAATGTGAAGAGGCTCCTCCTAGCCGTTGGGAAGGCTCCCAAACGGCTCTATAGCCGTTGGGAGCATAGGAGGGGGGCCTGGGGGGTTAGGGGGTGGGGTGGGGGTGGAGTATAAAAAAAAAATCTATTTAAACTCCTATTTTCTCTACATTTTTTACATCTCTTCTTCTACAACTCTTCCTACTCTCTAATTCTCTACTCTAAATCTCTCATATTCAATCATCTTCATTCTTCATCTTCTCCAAATTCTTTCTACATATATATAATTTATATAATTATTATATCTACTTATATATTAATTATCTATTTAAAAATATATACTTATACACATTCATATTATAATTCTTTACACATTATATATACTATATAAGTATATATACTATACACATTCATATTCACTTGATATTTAGTTATTATCCATACTATTGTTATTTACTTATATTTACATATTACATTTAGTTAATATATACTTATATATATATATACATATATATATATATATATATATATATATATATATATATTAAAGTATTAAGTATAAGTGTATTACTCATCTTATAGTAATATACTTATATATTATATACTATAAACATTATATTATATATTACTTATAATAGTAGTTAATTGTTAGACTTCTAATTTATCTATTAAATTAGTTAATTGTTACATTTCTCTACATTTCTCTACATTTCTCTTTAAAGGAAAAAATAGTTAAAGTAGTATATTTTTACATTTGTCATATTTCAATTAGTTAAAGTACTTAATTGTTTCATTTGTTATATTAAAATTAGTTATTTCATACATTGCTCATTAAAGTAAAAAAAAAAACACTAGTTAAGTTTTACATTTGTCATAATAATATAATATAAAAAAACTAGTTAAGTTATACATTGCACTTGAATTTTGTTTTTAATAACAATTATTATAATAATATTATATATAAATAAATAAAAAAAGGACCGGCCCGAACCGGGCCCAGCCCGTGAACCGGGCGGGTGGCCCGGCCCGAACCGGACCCGGGTTTACCCGGGCCGGTTCCGGGCCTCCCAAACCTTGAACCGAGGCCCGGCCGGTTCAAGGCCCGAACCGGGCCCGGCCCGAACCGGGTCCATCCCTAGGACTAAGGTATGGGAGCAACACCGGATGAGGGGAGGGGAGGGGAGTGGAGTCTGGGTTTAAGTGAAATATCTAACCTAATAATTATACATAAAGATTGGAGTATTTACAAAAATACCAAGAAGTTTATAAAAGTGATAGCTTCTAATTTATGACTTTAAAGTGCTTTTTTAATTAGAAGTTGGGTTTGACAAACACCCTTTTTAGTTTTTTTTTTTTTAAGTTAAAAACTGGAAAGTACTTATACTGCAAACACACCTATAATGTCAAAAGGATTTACACAAAAGTAATTGATCTTGTGATTTAAAAACTACAAGGTAAATTTTCTAAAATTCAACTCTTTCTAAAATATTAGCACTTCCAATTTTATTTCAGTATATGTATTGTACTGTAATACTAGTATCTTATAGCGGGTGCTTGTCTCAAAATGAAATTTTCTATATCAGCGCCAGGGACTCGGGGAGCCATTAGCCTTGTGCCGGGGCAAGGAGCCGTCCATTAGTCCAGCAAGAAGCAAGCCTACCAACTCAAGCAGCCAGCCGACCAGTACCAGCTCAAATGAGAGTCACTGCGAGATAACTATGCTCAATGAAGATATAACATTTCTTTTAACTACTTTTACGGCATGTAAACACTCAGGAAAATTGGTATTATTCAAGCGGACCAAAAAGAGTGGCATAATTTTACGACCTAAGTACTAAAGTCTAAAACTAATTTTCGGGACCGGAAGCAGGGCACTTGCCCCCCATGCCTCCCAAGGTCATCCACTTAACACACGCATTACATATAGTTAGTGTCACACACACATTCATAAATACAGTAATTAAGTTTAGTACGGACTACGGACTATATATAATATAAATTTTGTGTGGGTTAAAAACCTAGTTCATTCAACATAGCCGGTCACAATATAGATGGCAGAAAGCAACAGTTCCATCAAAATTCATCACAAAGCAAAAGATGGATGAGCAGACTAAAACTTTGCAATGGTAGAACACACAGAATCATAAGCCTGGTCAATTTCCTCTTCTGTCATCTCGATTGTTGCCTCATCACTATCAGAATTTGTTGTGTTGAGTTGTGTCTGATCTATGCTACTAAATTCTAGCTCATAAATTTGTTTACAGAGTTCAGCTTGCTTCCATACCCTAGTTACATCATTGCCTTGAACTTTCAACAGCTCCTCAACTGCGTGCGGGATGCATGCCCATTGCTCCATTATTTGCTTTACATCCTAAAGAAAAATGAGAGAATACAAGATATAGGTTTCAAGCAAACGAAGCATTAGATGTGCATTTAGTCAACCTAAAGTTTAAGCTAAAGCAGTAAAGCTTAAGCTGGCAATTGTGCTGCCTATTAATTGATGAGGATACTGTATAGCACAAGAAGATATATAGCACAACGACATAAGTCAATTGCAAAGGATTTGCCCATCATGTTAAAGTGAGCCTGAACTCTTAAGTTAAAAATAAAAAGCCTTTAGGAAGCCATCAAACTTATAATGTCAATTATAGTTTGAAATTAGATAACACATTAACTCTATAAAAGGCAGTGGTAAAGCTTTGCGTTGGATATCCCTTCCAAAATGAACTAACTCTACAAATAATATATGCACACTGGGAAAAAGAAGAAGAATAAGAAACATACCTTCCCATGCTTTAGAGAATCTATGGTATCCTGTAAACAGGTTAAGATCCCTTCCGCAGCTATTTTCTTAATTTCAGTTGGCTCTGGCTGCAGAAAGGAAAAAATCATGAAGATAATAAGGGTTCACAAAACTTGCCAATCATGGCAAACAGACAATACTCACAATTTACAAAATGCTTGATTTATCAAGACCCTTAATAAGAGTAGAGGAGAAACTTTTCTGATGATTGGTAACATTGTGCTTGTTATGGTATATGATGCTCATGAACTTGCTAATCCATTACTTTATCAACACCCTAAAACTAAATAGTAAAAAAATCATAGTTTCTGAACCTAGAGTTACTGTAAATTTCTATACTGAGATATGTATGTGTGAGTGTGTGAGTGTGCGTGTTTACACTTCCACAGTTCCACTCAAGAAGTTCTGGATTCAGAATCAGTGTGATCTTTGGACATGAATGCATGATTAATTGACCTTCATAACATCCAGTACATATTGCGATGATATGGCTACATCATACCTGAAAGAGGTAGAGAGTACTTGGCTGAAAACATGAAATAACCAAATGGTTGAAAGTCTTAGGACACTCTTTGTTTACCTTCTCATCTTGACTTTCTAGCCATGAAACAGTACTCTGAAGATCTTCAGTGGCCCATTGTTTCACTTCAGAAGAAGTGAAAAATTCTTTGAAACTGTTGGGGTGCATACCCTGTTTCACATATGAAAATTTAGGTAAAATGAGATTATAAGAACTCTGATATATATTTTTTTGAAATAGATATATTTACTTGTATACGCAATTGAGCACCAAGCAAGTATATAAAAATTAAAAAAAAAAACATTACATCTGTAGAAAAACTAGAACTAGAAGCTGAGCCTTGAATTTATCAAATTTTATAAAACTGATATTCAGTTGTAATGGTCATGAAAACATGCCTAAATACCATAAGGATTCCATCATGAGTTTTGGCTTGGCGTTGAAATAAAGACACATACTTAAAACTGTCATAAGATTGTAGGCATGTACTAACAAAAAACGAGATCAAGCAGACCTTAGATGGTGTGCGGGAAGTCAAGTCTGAGCGTGAGTTTTCTGCTTTTTCTTGAGATTCTCTTGAGTGCAGTGACCTTTTATCTGTGAGGAACGAGCACCAAATTAAATTAAACTAAAACATAAACACAATTGAGAATACCAAATTCGTCAAAGAGGTTGTGCTAAAAGAGTAACAGCTACAAGCTCAACTTTTTACTCGTCAAAGAGATAATCTGTTATCTTTAAAAAAACATAATTTAATACTGTACTTGGATTATTTCTGTTCTCTTTTTGGAAGCACCAACCTTTGCAAACACTTAGCATCCTCCATGGTTTACCAGCATGCATAAGGTAAGGCTCGATATCAATGAGTTGTCGTTGTTTATAACATTCTGCTATCCAATCCTGTTCCAAAAATTAATAAGCAAACCAAACAAAAATCAAGTTCCTCTGTCTCGCTTTTGAAATTGGAGAATAGTAAGTAATGAGTCCACGGAGAAGGGTGCTAGCAGTGCATGCCAACATGTGGCAACATTTGACATATAAAATAACAATCAGAGCTGGTATAGCTAAAAAGTTAACCCCGAACGCTAATTCCATTGTTCTATTTTGTCAATTGTAACCATGAAAATACTATAACAAAAACTCCAATTAAGTTATTACGGAGTATAACACAAACTAGCAGCCCCCTCCCACTCCCAGGCAGCACAACTGATCAGCATCATTTCAGAATACATCCAAAGTCATGCAGAGATGCCAATACATTGTGTTGCTAGTTGCTACTGATTTGGAAGAAAGGTAGCAAGTATGTATTAAACAAGCTCCAGATTCACTAAGACCTGATAGAGAGTTAAGAGGCAAGAGGAGAAATGTCCAAGAAAGAAGATACTTTATGAAATTGATATAACATGAAGAAACATCTGTGTTAGGAGAAATGTCCAAGAAAGAAGATGTTTTATGAAATTGATATACCATGAAGAAACATCTGTGTTAGATGAGAAAAGAATGTAACGAAATACCCGAAGGTATTCCCCATCAAGGTGACTTGTCCAATAGCTAGGTGCCCAACCCTGGGGAGTAGGGAGTCTCAAATTTTTAATCTTTGAATACCTCTTATGCTAAAGAGAGCCCTTATTATGGGTGTGGGGTGTGGGGGGGGGGGGTATCTACTAAAATTGATTGAAGGATTATGGGGGGTATCTATTTCTCTGATTTCCAGAATCAAGACCAGAATTCCGTAACTGATCGACTCCCTTTAATGTTTCACAATGCCTCAAACAATCAAGGTAAAAATATTCATGAGCGCTTCACAGGGTATTCCAAAACATACTAAGGCGCTTAATTTGCAGTCTATCATAGCACAGCAGTCTATTCTATAAATGTCTTGTATATAGAAATTAGAATCAAACCTTTGAAACAATGGTCCCAAGATCTGCCGCAACTTGCCGGAACTTTGGAGTGTTTGGAAATGCACAAACCAGAAGGGTGCAATTCGAATTCCAATCTGGTTGATATTCAGCTCCCATTTCCAAGGCTTGAGACCTCAGTGTGCCACGCTCAGGGTTAACAATGCCGGATAACACGAACACAACACCTTCCTGCACTAATCAATACAATCATTTACTCATTTTAACCTTTTCCTCCAAGATCAAACCTAACGGAGATTCGTAACTGAAATCACAGTACAACCATGAGTTTTGAGAAGTTTGAGGAGTCCGAATTGGAGTGCGTTTCACTTCCATCAGTAGTACTCGTGTCTTGCCTTGACCCCATCCATGAGGGAAGATTCCGTCTCCTTTTACTTGTAATACCATCATCACCTTTGCCAGCTTTTGAACCTGACATTTGATGACACTGCCTATATCTATCGGAATGGTTACAACTGCGAAAACAGCAATATAGCAAACTGGATATCAGTTTCTGTACAGACTTGTTTCCCTTGAAAATAATAAATACCCCCCTGTGGCCACTGTTATGTCAATTGAAAAAAGTATTTTCATTTCATCGGTGATTATCCCAAAAGGTCTGTTGTGACATTTGAGAAGAATTTGAAGAATGGAGTTTTTCAAGCGAACTGTCGATTTGTATAATTGCAGCTGTGTATTGCATGATTTGGCGATTTGCTGCAGCACCTAAAGCCGTGTAATGAACTGTTCCAACCCTAATCATCTTTTTCCGAAATTGCCTTGAATAAGAATAAAAACGTTTTCAAATTCCAAAATAAGAGTATCATATTTTTTAGTAATCTGCCAAGTTTGAAAAAAAACCATGTTAAAAGCCTTGTAATGCCAAACTTGACTGAAATTTACTCTTATTCAAGGAATAAACAACATGATACTCCTATTTTGGAATTTTAAAATGTTTTTACTCCTATTTAAGGAATTTTCTTCATCTCTTTCTTATTATTGCTTATAACAAAATTAAAAAATGACATAATCGGATAAAGGCTTAAATAGGGGTTTTTGGTTCTCCAAATGTAGTAATATGGATTATTTTACTTTTAATCTATCTCTAACTTTGAATTCATAATACCTAGGAAAAAAATTTATCCATTGCATACATATACTAAAAACATTTAGATATATCATTGTATATACTTTTTAGACTAATACGAGTGTTAAATCAATATGAAACTCATTATTCACATTTTGAAAATATGTATGAAAAACATTCTAAAAAAACACTTTTTGAATAACATGACAATGATTATTTGGAAACATATTCATCAGGATTATTTCTAATTTCCTTGATCAAACGGATGTTGTTATCATTAGTGATGAATTAAAAAGAAAATCAACGTAAATTTGGAGAGAGTAAAACATATTTAAACTTCTACAAATAAAATCATAATAATGTTGGATTTATATAAGTACATTTTATAAATATTTCACAATTTTCAAACAAATAAATTTCACGAGACAAATTAAATAAAGAAATGATATATGTGGAAAAAATACATTGTATGTCACATATTTCGTTTGTAACTTTGTATGGACATCTAGAACTGATTCGGATTCTGCTTCTTTTTTTAAGTAGAAGCAGAATCAGAATCAGTTATCAAAAACTGGTCTTCCCCAACTTCTAAAAAAACTGATTCTAGGAGTAAATTAGATCATCAGATTCACTTCTACACTTTCACCAAACACTCCAACTTCTGTTTATGCTCCCTGAAGGAGCAGAAGCAGTTTTAGAATTAGATCCAAACACCCCATATACATAAATGTTTGTATATATGAAGTTAATAGGTTGGCACAAAAATGATGTTTATGAGTACACAAATTGATATATGGGGTGTTTGGAAATTATTGTGCTTCTACTTCTGAACAACTTAGGGCTTGTTTGCAATCACTTAATTTAAGTGATTGTGACTTTTTTATTAAGAAAAAAACACTTATTTTACCAAACACTACCAATTTTTACTTTTCTCAGCTTCCGTGTAGAATCTACTTTTTACTTTTTCTATTGTACAAAAAATACTTATTTTACCAAACACTACCAACTTTTACTACTAATCATTTTTTTCCAAAAAGTACTTTTATTTAAGCACAATCGCTTGCAAACAAAACCTTATTCTACCACCATTTTTAAGCACTTGAAAAGCACTTTGTATTTTTTTCTACTCCTTGAACAACAAAGTGGCTTTTAAGAAGCAAATCAAAACATCCGCAAATTACTTTCACTCTCTTTTAATTATAACATTCGACTTTTGCACTATTAACATATTCTACTTTAATTGTATTTTTATATTAATGTATTATTCCATCCGTTCCATTTTACATGTTCTACTTTCCATTTTGAGTTGTTCCAAAATAAGTGTCTCATTTTCTCTTTTGGAAAGAAATATGTGGCTGACACAATTTCACATTATGATATTCAAACTTAAATCACAACTTTTACCTTTTTAACCACTTCATTAATAATCGTGCCAAGTCAAAGTGAGACACATTAAATCGGACAAAGGTAGTATAAATTAATTTTTAAAAAAATATTGTTAAATTCCTCTCATTTAAAATTTTCAAAATATGACTTTTTTTTTACTAATAACGAATGAAATATTAATGATTAAATTTGTGCGTTGACAAACATTAAAATTAGGCCGTTGTAAATTGTAATATCATTTATTTGCAGGAAAAATGAACAAGAATAATCCCAACTATTAGTGATCTGCTTGAAACAATCCAAATTATCAATTATCTCAAAATAATCTCAACTATGAAAAAATCTTCTCAAAATAATCCGATGACTTATAATTATCCATAAATGACTCATAATATTTATGAGTAAGTGGAGTATTTTGAGAAGATTTTTTTAATAGTTGAGTTTATTTTGATATAATTGATACTTTGAATTATTTCAATAATCACTAATAGTTGAGATTATTCTTGTCCATTATTCCTTATTTGTAATATCATTTATTTGTGAGGTATAATTTGGTATACAATTATGGGATACTACGTACAAATTGCATGACTGCATTTGTTGATCTAGAGCCCGTTTGGTAGCTCGGAAATCGGTTGATTTGGCTTATCCTGCTGAAATTTATGAAGTCCTGGCTGAAGTGGCTGCATTGGCTTATATGGCTGATTTAAGAAATAATTATTTTTAAAATATATTTTATTAATAAAATAAAAAAATTATATGCAAAAATAGCTAAAATGGTCATCTACAGAAACTTCGGCCAATACAGTCAGAAAACCAATCTTACCTTTTATGTTTATTATACAATTCAACATTTAAAAGCAAAAATTATGTATTTGTTAAAAAAGATAGGTAAGAAGCCTCGTAAACCAAAAAACTACTACGTCCGTCCCTTTTATATTGGGACGGAAGAGGATGACACGAGTTTTAAGAAAAGTGTGTTTATGTGGTTGATATTAATTGATAAAGTAAGAATAAAGTAAGAATGATTTTTAGGCACACAAACTTTACCAAATAAGATATGAGACAATTAAATAGGGACAACCTAATATAGTAAAACGAGACATTTAAAAAGGGAGGGAGTACTTTATAATACGGAGTAAATAGTATAAGGATTAGGATGTAGCTATGTACTACGGCTAGAATTTGAAAGTACGCGCCATGAAACACCGAATAAAAACTGACAAGATTTAGGGTTTATATAGATTATGCTGAAGCAAAACATAGTCAGCCTATCTCTGCTCTCACTTGAAGTCAAGAACACAATAAAAGAGCGGGAGGACGCCCAAATTTCTGGTAAAAGCCCCCAACCCGTCAGAAGATGTCTATTGGAGTCCGCGAACTATGCGTTTTGGGAGCGTTCAAGCCATTTGGCCTGGTCGCCGAAACTCAGGAAGGAAATTCACCCCAGATTTTATCTGGCGATTACCGTTACTTCCTCTTCAGTCCGGAAGTCACCAAACAAAGAGAAGTAGCGGATGACTTCAACGAAGCTTCGCCTTCCAGCGATAGGAGTGATCAAGAACTTTTTGTCAGAGGAAAAAGGTAATTTTGAGCTCGTATTCATTTCATACAAACTCTTTTGTCAGCCAATGCTGCCACTTAGTATCAATCCCAATTTTATTTGTGTCAAAGCTAACATCTTGACTTGAATTGGCTGAAATGTTTATAGGATAGTATGGAGCATAGGTTCACGAGTGTATAAGAGGTTCACTTCACCCTCCACAGTGATCAAGGTATCACTTCTATTCCGGGCACATTTAAATTTTATCCACTCTTTTCTGCAATTTTGTGGAATATCTATCAATCCTCAATGTCAAAACTGAAATGGCTAATTAGTTTCCAAATAACTTACTACAACAACAACATCCAAGCCTTAGTACCAAAAGATTTGGGGGTCATCTAACACGAATCTATACATGATAAAGAAAGATAAGAAACATAAAAAGATAAGGTATGATAAAAAGATAAATAAAGATAAGATAAAGATAAAAATGGTAAGATAAAAAGGATAACAAGAATATGTATATATATTATTATGTATATAATAATATAAAATAAAAAGGATAAAGAACATAAGAAAGATAAAGAAGATAAAAAGATAAAAAAGACTAATTTCATTTAAAGCAAACCATAAAATTGAATTCTTATTGAAGACTGATTACTGTTCTATTAATATTGTGACGATAGTGTCTCTAGATAAGCTGGTTTTTGAAAATTTCACTTGTCTCCAATTCGGTCAAAGTAACCATTGGATTGTTTCTAACAAAATGCTTTGCTGCTTGCCTATGTTTGAAGCTTACAGAATTTCTGCATTATAATAGGTTTGCTTGTGCCAGATGGGTGTTATGTCTGAAACTGTTCTTTGTGTCCAACAAATGGATAGTTTAGCAATTTATAATACCTCAGGTATTGTCCCTTTATCTTTGGAGCACTTATTTGATCTTTACTTTACCAGATTCACTTTTATGCATATTCTTACCCTGGTTATAATTTAGTGTGGTACACCAGTAATCACAATAATAATCTTAATAAGAACTTAGAATATTTTTATCCTTCACGCTTAAGATGGCTTGGCATCTTGAACTTATAATTATGGTTGTACATAAATTGTTGACTATAGCGCCAAATCACACCCTCTTAAATATCTTCTTGGTTGTTTCTGATTTGACCACTTAGGCACCTAATAACAGTTTTGGCATTGTATACCTAATTTCATGTTAACATCTGATTTGGGTGAAGGGTTGGATACTATTGTATATTGATGATGCATCCTTTTTTATCTTCCATCAGGAGAAGTCATATCTGTCCCTCTTCCTCATAGCATTTTATCAATATGGCCTCTTCCTTGTGGGTTGCTTCTTGAACAAGCAGCAGAAGGGGTCTCATTCACCAACAGCTCACACTCTTCTTCAAGCCTGTATTTAAGTCCTATTGACACAGTTCATCCTAAAAGGAATCTAATCCCTCTACACAATACGAATAGGAATATTGAAATTGATTTCACCTTAAAGGGAGATGGGTTTTCAATGTCCTCACACCTGATATTGAAGGATACCCTGGAAGAACCTCAGGTATGCATGGTTTAACATTTTTTGCTGTTTCAGACTTGGCCTGAAAATTTCAGTTTTCGGTTCTGTGTAATTGGATGGGGAATGATTATCAAATTAAAACCAAACCATGTTTAGTTTGTTTGAGTTGCTTTGGTTTGTTATTTTTCTAAATATGTTAAGGTTTTATTA